GATGTCATGCACTGGTAAAACAATTACATATATTTTCAGTTTGCACTCCATCCTGGAATTCTTCCCATCCTGACTGAATTTTTATAAAGTTTACATACAGTAAAGCTATTTTTGGTGCACAGTTTTATGAGTTTTGCCAGAAGGTTTTGACCACCACTATGCCATACAGAAAGTTTCAGCACTCCCCAAAACTCTCTTACACATTCCATTTGCAGTCAATCCCTATCCTATCCTTCAACACCTGACAATCACTAAATTGTTTTACATCCCTTTAGTTTTGTCTCTTCCAGAATATCACATAAATGCACTGTATAATATATAGCCTTTTGGATCTGACTTCCTTCCATTCACTTACAAGAATTCATTTAAAATTTGCACCTTCACTTTTCAGAATTTTTTTTTAGAAGGCTAGAAGACAGTTTTATTAAGCAAGGCAGAAAAGTACACTCTCAAAGAGTGAGTGAGTCCCCTGAGAAGTCAGGACCAGCCTTTGGGATATTTGGGGGGAATAGAATTCTAGGTTGGTCACTGTTCTTTTTAACTTTAAAGGGTCATTCCATTGGCTTCTGGGCTGAATGTTTATTATTGGGAAGTCCACAATCAATCATGTTATTGTTCCTTTGAAAATAAGATCTTTCTCCACTTCTGGCTGCTTTTAAGATCTTCCATTTGGTTTTTCAGTAGTCCTTCTATGATTTATCTTGGTGTGATTTTCTTTGTATTTACCTGACTTAGGTTTTGCAGAGCTTCCTAAATTTATGACTGGTGTTTTATCATTTGGTTATTTTCTACTGTCATCCAGCTCTCTAATCCTGTCTTCTGCTATTTTTAAATCAGCTGTTAAATCTACTGAGGTCTTAATTTTGTATATTTCACTTCTAGGATTCCCATTTGATTCTTTTTTTATATAGACTTCAACTCTCAGGTAAAATTCTCCATTTCTTCCTCTATTTTCTCAATTTTCTATTTAATTTCTTCAATGTATTAATCATAATATTAAATTTTCTTTTCCACCTAAAAATGCCCTTTTCTATTTAAACTCCAATATACAAATCGCATTTAGTTTTATGTTTATTGTCTGGTTTGTAAAACAACCTCAAATTTATAGAAAAGGTGTAAGAACACACTACAAAGAACCTTACTCTTCTGAAATAATCATCATCAATAGTTTAATATATATTCTTCCAGAACTGTTTCCTATAGCTATACAAACATTTTTACTTTGATTTTTTTTTAACAACTTGCATTTTTCATTTAATAATATACAGGCAGTCTTCACGATACACAGTTCTAATACACACAAATTTCAGTTACCTTGGTTTGGTTAAGCACCACCAGTACCCCAACCACATGCTTCAAATTTCAGTTACCATGGTACATTACTGCAAGTAACTGCAAAAACTTCACTAGCTCTTCAATTCACAAATCACAATATAAGTAACACATGTACATCATGATCAGTGATCAGTCATAACTAAAGAAATCTTGAACTCTAGTTAGGGGTATGCTTACTGAAAAATCTAATTTCAAACTTACATGGAAATGCATCTGAAAAATACCAATGATGGATATATATATAATCAAGCATAGAATCTGAATAGTAAATATATTAGATTCCCATTGCTGCTGTAACAAATTACACCAAATTTATTGGCTAAAACAACTCAAATTTATTCTATTACACTACTGGAGGTCAGAAGTATGAAATTTTTACTGGGCTAAATAAAACCAAGCCAAGCTGTTGGCTGGGCCACATACCTCTTGAAATCTGTGGGAGAATCCTTTGCCTCTTCCAGCTTCCAACTGCATTCCTTGACTCTTGGTGTCCTTCCTCAATCTTAAAAGCTAGCAGTACCTTCAAATCTATGACCATGACTCCTACTTCTGTCATTTTTTTCTCTGATTCTGTTAATCCTCTTAAAAGAACCCTTGTGAATACATTGGGCCCACCTGAATGATCCAGCATAATCCCTCCATCTCAGAATTCCTAACCTTACCATATCAGCAGTCATTTCTGCTATGTAAGGTAACATTCACAGGTTCTGAGGATTAGGGCAGGAACACCATTGGGGTGCCATTATTCTGCCTACTATAATGGGTATATATGTTTACTGTGAAATTCTATAAATTATTATGTACTTTTGAAATTTTTCTAGTAAAACTTGGGGAAAAAATTAACATCCAGCAATATGGATAAAGCATTACCATTACGGTGATTATGTAACTCAATAACTGCCTTTTCCAATAAAAGGGAAGAATTTTTCCTGCTTAAGAATAAAGTTCTCTTTTCAATGAGGAATGTTATTGCAAGTAGTATAGACTCCTTCATTTGTTTATTAAAAACATTGCTCCTTTGCTACCCTGGAATTGCTCAAAAGAGCTTCAAAGTTTCAAACAGGCCAAAACATAATGTTGAGAAATAAAACAGTATAAGCATGTTTTAAATAGTTACCTAAAGTTGCTTTACTTAGAAAAGATACCATTTTAAGCTAATTTTACAAAAATAGTTCTTTTTAATTAATCTCTGCCCAATTCACCCTTTTTTAGTAGGATTTCTTCTTTGTTAAACAGACTTTTTTGTTATACTGACAATAAAATAAGTAGCCTTACATATAAAGGATATTGTGGAAATTAAATTATTATGAAAACAAATTTCAGTGTTTTTAAATACTTAGAACAAGAGTCAAACAATAAAAAAGTATTTCAGATCTTTTTTTCTTTCACTTAGAGCTTATTTTCAGGAAGTACCAAAATCCTATTGATTCTCTTTTTACAGTCACATGTAAATTCTAGTGACTTCATCCCTAGATCATTACTAAAATAATTTTACACTTTATTTTCTTCAGGTATTTTTCTAGAAGTGGAATTAATGGTGGTATGGTATTTCTATTTTTAGTTTTTTTAGGAATCACCCTACTGCTTTCCACAGTGGCTATACCAACTGACATTCTCATCAACAGTGCAGGAGGGTTCCCTTTTGAATAGTGTCCATTCTGACTGGTGTGAGGTGATAGCTCACTGTGGTTTGATTTGCATTTGCCTGATGATTAGCGATATGGAGCACCTTTTCATATGCCTGTTGGCCACTGTATTTCTTTGGAGAAATGTCTATTCAGGTCCTCTGCTGAATTTTTAATTGAGTTACTTGTTTTTTTGGTATTGAAGCATATGAATTCTTTTTTTTCTTAATTAAGGTTATCATTGATACACAATTTTTTGAAGGTTTCACATGCGCAACATTGTGGTTTCAACATTCACCCATATTATCAAATCCCACCACCCCAGTGCAATCACTGTCCATCAGGGTACTTAAGATGCTACAGAGTCATTACTTGTCTTCTCCATGCTATACTGAGGCATATGAATTCTTTATATGTTTTGGATGTTAACCCCTTATCAGATAAATCATTTACAAATAAATTCTCCATACTGTAGGTTACCTTTTGGTTCTGCTGATGGTGTCCTTTGCTGTACAGAAGCTTTTTAGTTTCATATTCATGTAGTCCTACCTGTTCGTTTTTTATTTTGTTTCCCTGGACCAAGGAGACATGTCCAGAAAAAAACTGTTCGTATTTATGTTCAAGAGATTTTTGCCTATGTTTTCTTCTAAGAGTTTTATTGTTTCATGACTTATATTTAGATCTTTGATCCATTTCGAGTTTACTTTGTATATGGTATGAATTAGAGAGTAATACAGTTTCATTCTCTTGCACGTAGCTGTCTAGTTTTCACAACACCAGTTTTTGAAAAGACTGTCTTTTCCCCATTGTATATTCATGGCTCCTTTATCATATATTAATTGACCTTATATGCATGGGTTTATATCTGGACTCTCTACTCTGTTCCATTGATCTATGGGTCTGCTCTTATGCCAGTACCATACTGTTTCGATTACTGTACCTTTGTAGCATGGCTTGAAGTCAGGAAACATAATTCCCCCAGCTCTGTTCTTCTTTCTCAGGATTGCTTTTGTTATTCAAGGTCTTTTGTGGTTCCATATGAATTTTAGGATTATTTGTTCCAGCTCACTGAAAAATGCAGTTGGTATTTTGATAGAGGTTGCACTGAATCTGTAAATTGCTTTGGGCAGGGTGTTCATTTTGATAATATTAACTCTTCCTATCCATAAGCACAGAATAGATTTCTATTTATTTGTATCTTTAACTTCTCTCACAAGTGTCTTATTTCTTTTCAGAGTACAAGTCTTTCACCTCCTTGGTTACATTTATTCCTAGGTATTTTATTCTTCTTGATGCCATTTAAATGAAATCATTTCCCTGATTTCTCTTTCTGCTGGCTCATTGTTAGTATTTAAGAATAGGACAGATTTCTGTGTGTTAATTTTGCATCCTGCAACTTTCTGAGTCCAGTTATTAGTTCCAGCAGTTTTTCGATGGAGCCTTTAGGGTTTTCTATGTACAATATCATGTCATCAGCAGATAGTGACAGTTTAACTTCTTTTTCACCAACTGAAATCAAATATCTTTTACAATTTTATACTGGATATCCCCTTTCTAAAAATCTCAGGGTTATCACTTTCAAAAATAAGGATATTTTAATCCTTTGAATTTGAAATACTTACATATATTTACTTATTCCTTTAACATATATTACCTTATTTCATTATTTAATCATTTCTCAGGCACCTATCTCATAATCTTAACAAAAATGTATCTTCTAAAGAGCAGTTCTTTTTTATCAGTCACAGTATCTAACTATAGTTCTATCTATGGATCCCAAGGCACTCAATAAACACTAGTTAATATGTGAAGTATTTAACAATCTGAAAATGTTTTCTTTTTCACTTTTGTTTATAAATTTTTCTTCTTTCCCATTCCTTGATGTCAAACTAAATCTATCTTTTCTATTTTACTTCATTATTTGGACTGTATTTCTTCTTTCTAAGTAAGAGGTTATATTACTGTCTTTTTATCTTTAAACCAAAAACTGGACAAAATCAAGTTCTCTGATTAAAAAAAGCATTTTAAAAGTGAACTTACCCTTCTCATACGTAATTCCTCTAATGCTTCCAGTAAATTTGTTCTGAAATCTAATAGCTGAATAGAAACCAGTGTCTCTGAAGAACTTTGAAGAGCAAGAGTAGATGATGATGATTCAGTCTTAGAATCATTCTCCATGTTAACATTTATTTCCTGTAATACAAAAAGATTTTATGGGAAAAATCATTTATTTAGGTTTTCAAATAAAGGCAAAATTACCATAAAAATGTAACAACCTGTATCCCATAATCCTCCAGATTTAACATTGAATTAACAGTTTTGTCATCACTGATTTCTGATCTTAATACACAAAACACTTAGCAACAATGATTCTGTTGTGTTTCTCTGAGGCTGAGGCTTCATCTGTTATCTTAGTACCCTTGGTAACTAAATTTTCTGCCCCTAGAGACTCATCTGCAAAAGCTCCTAATGGATTCCTAACGTAGGCAAAGCTTGGCTCTTCTATAATTACTTCATAGCAAGGTTGAGATAGGCATTAGGGTTCCTAAATTTTGCCTTAATATAAAGCATTTTGTAAGGATTCCATGAATATTAATTAATAAAAATGCTAATTTTAAAGCCAACAAAGGTGGCAAAGGAGTGGGGTAACTGCCTTTTATTCAAAACAAGACACTTAAAAGTCTTTCTCAAAAAAAAAAAGAAGTCTTTCTCAACCTCAAAAATAATATGAGTCAGGTTGCAAGAAACTTTTCAACTTTTCATTTTAATAATTATTGATTCACAGGTAGTTATACAGAAATGTACAGGGAGTTCTACATACAAATTACTCAGCCTCTCTCAGTGTTAACATCTTGTATAATAATAGCACAATATGAAAACTGTGTTTCTGACGTTGGCACAATCCACAGAGCTTATAATGATTCTACCAGTTATACATGCGCTCATTTGTGTATGTGTCCTTGTGTGTACAACTCTATGCAAGTTTATTATATGTATAGCTTCATGCAATTATGACTGCAATGAAGATACAGAACTGTACCAACCTCATAAAACTTCTTTTTTTCCATACCCACTACACTCGTCAGTATTTCCATAATTTTGTTATTTCAAGAGTATTACATAAATGGAATCAAACATCATGTAACCTATTGATACTGGATTTTTCTCACTTGTAATAATTACCTTGAGGCTTATCTAAGCTGTGTATGTATCGAGTCCCTTCCTTTCTATTGCTGAGTAATATTCCATGGTATGGATATACTATGGCTTGTTTAGCCATACACTCATTGAAGTGTATCAGTGATTTTCAGTTTTTGGCTCTTAGGACTAAAGCTGCTGTGAACACTCATGTACAAGTTTCTTTATGAACATAAGCTTTCATTTCTTAGGAATAAATGTTCAAGAGTGCAATTGCTGGGCTGAATGAATATTGTGTTCATTTTTAAATGTAAAGGGAACTGCCAAACTATTTTCCAGAGTGGCTATACCATTTTACATTTCCATTGGCAATGTATGAGTGATCCAGTTTCTCCAAATCCCCACCAGCATTTGGTGTTATCACTGTTTTTTATTTTAGCTATTCTGATGTAAGTATTCTCCAAAGAAATAGAACCAAAAGGATGTATACGTATAGAGTGGGAAAAAAAAATGTTTTAAGGAATTGGCTAGTGCAGTTGTAGGGTCTGGCAAGTCTAAAATCTTCAGGGTAAACCAGCAGGCAGAAAACCCAGGCAAAAGTTGATACTGCAAATCAACTCCAAAGGCAGTCTAGAATCAAAATTCCTTGTTCCTTGGTGGTCTGGCAAGTCTAAAATCTTCAGGGTAAACCAGCAGGCAGAAAACCCAGGCAAAAGTTGATACTGCAAATCAACTCCAAAGGCAGTCTAGAATCAAAATTCCTTGTTCCTTGGGGAACCTCAGTATTTTTCTCTTAGGCTGTCATCTGACTAGATGAAGCACACACTATAACCAGCTTTACGCAAAGGCTACTGATCTAAATGTTGGTCTCACCTAAAATTACCTTCACAGCAGTACCTACAGAAGTGTTTGACCAAATAGCTCAGTACGTGGCCTACCCAACATGTTATATAAAATTAATCACAGGTGTGTATGCTAGCAAATTTCCAAAAGGAAAATTTCCATTCCTGAAAATTATGGCCTATGGTTATTTGAACCAACTCTAGCTAAACACAACTAACAATTCTGAATAAAATATTTTTTAATCTTCTTAAAAGTATCAAAAACCTGACAAGATAATAAAATAATTATGAGGCCAAATCTAAATTCCAAAAAAGAGCAAGAACCAAGAAATAAACTAATCACAAAAGCCATCTTTACACTGTGAGCATTTGCTGAAATGAGTAAAATTAACAACTTTGATGGCCTCTGGTTTTGAAAGAGATGGAATTTAAACCTACGGCCTGGCAAAGTAGAAAGTCTAATGAAAGACCCCCTATAGTGAGTAAAATTCTGAAGGGTTAAATTCTCAGGTAAGATTGAAACAAAATTAACCTACTTTCTATAGAGTTGCCTCCGTGCCAAAAGGAGTGGGAGGAAAAAAAAAGGGAGGGGGAGACATAGAAAGAGAAGAAACAAAAGTCTCATCCCAGAAGTTGTAAACAGCTTAATTTCAGATGAATTTGTTAACAAAAGTTACTTCATAGACAGCATGATGGAAAAAAACCTCAACCTGTGATATGATTTAAAATGTTTCCAGACTGGTAGTGCCCCTAAGAACCTGGCAGAAGCAATTGAAAATTCTTTCTAGAGGAATACAACTTAATTCCAGGTACTCAAGGAATCTTTGCAAATTATTTTTCAAAGAGAATCAGCCACACACAAAGAGAACTAGGCACGGAAGGAAACGTTGTATTATGAGATAAAGTAGAAAAAACAGATACACGCATACTGCATATTTTGGCATTATCATAAACTTTAAAACAACTATGCTTGCTTACTATGTTGAAATAAAGTCAAGGTTGAAACTATCTGCAAAGAATAGGAGATCTTTAGAAGATCTCAGTAGACTCTCTAGACATGAAAAATATATAATCAACAATTGATAACTCAATCAATATGTTTGGCAGAAGACTAGACATAGATGAAAAGAGAATATACTAGAAAAATATATCAGGTTTTACCAAAAATGGAAATACAAAATGCAAAGTACAGAAGAAAGGTTAAGAAAGATGGAATATAAAGTGAGAGGCAGGAAGACGAGAGAAATAAAGAGACAGACTATATTCAAAGAAAATATATTCTGAGAATATATATATATATATAATATATATATAATTTTTTAAATATTTTCCAGAACTGAGGAAAACACCAAGCTTCAGATCAAGAATCCCAGCAAGTTCAAATATGCTATATTTGATTTAATTCTCATGGAAAAGTTAGAAGCACTGGATTGTACTGATAAACTGAAAAGAAAAGGGTCACTTTTTGGTTTTAATCTCATGTTGAATTAATTGTATCTAGTTCACGGCTTACAAACATCTTTGGTCCACATCTGAATATTGTTTTATTCTTTTTGTACTTGTTTGCTAATTTCATTCTCCTTCCAAATGTTTACAGACCACGCTTAATGCTTTAGATATACATACATCATTGAATCTATAGTTATCCTTTTAATGTACATAAGGTTATGTGTATATAATTTAATTCACATAAATTCAATTTGCTATATATAGGAAAAAAAGGGTTTCAATTGATCTAAAATAAATTTTAAAATCTTTATCTACAGAGACTACAGAAACTGAAAAATCTTAAATACAATTAAATTTCAAAAGACTTAAAGCATACAGATACTAACAAAACAAGAAACCAAAGACAATATGGGAGTGAAAAATTACAGGCCAAAAGAGCTCACGAAATTTAAACAAATTCTAAACAAAATAAAAGAATACTGAAGCTAACAATAGATAAAAATAATAATATATCATAACCAAGTAGGGTTTATCACAGAAATGTTCATTTAACATGAGAAAATCAATTAATACAATTCTCTATATTAAGATGCTGGGGTAAAAAATTACATGATCATAAAGAAAAAGCACTTGAACATGCAACAACTGTTTATGGTATTTTTAAAAAACTCTCAGAAAACAGTAATAAGCAGAAGAGAACTGCCTTAATTTGATCAGCAGACTCTATATATACTTGAGCAACATCATACTTAACAGTGAAAATTAAAAGCATTCCCCATGAGATCAAAAATCAGACCTGAGTTTCAATTATCCCTGCAGTTTATTAAAGGTAGTACAATAAAGCAGGAAGGCAAGAAAAAGAAATAAAAGGCACACAGACTGAAAGGCAAGAAATAAAACTGTCATTCCAAAAAATAATTGAGAATACAGAGTATCTTTAAAACCTACAGATGAAGCATTAGAATTAATAAAAGGATTTAGCAAGCTAGAAGGAAACAAAACAATATACAATAACCAACTATATTCCTATACACGAAGATTAAAGCTTGGAAATAAAATTTAGAATAATATTTAGAACAGCATAAAATAAATTAAATACCTTACAATAAACCTAACGAAACATGCACAAGATCCTACAGGGAGAAAATACAAAACTTGATTAAGTAATACCTAAATAAATGAAAAGATATACCACCTTCACAGATTAGAAGCCTCAACATTGAAAAGAAGTCAATTATCCCCAAATTGAAAAATTCAGTTCAGTGCAATCTCAGTCAAAATCCCAATGATTCTTGTGAAACTTATAGATTTTTAATTTAATATGAAAATGGAAATGCAAATGACCAAGAACAGCCAGGAATCTGTTGAAAAGAACAAAATTAGAAGATTTGTTCCATTAATTATGAAGATTTTCTGTAACACAATAGCAATTAAGACAGTGTTATAATGATACCAGGCAAGACAAATAGACCTTTGAAATAAAACAGGGAACCTGGACCCACAAATAGATGTGTATGGGTACTTGTGTGTATATATATATATGTATGTATCATATCAGAAAGGAAAGGACTATATATTTTTGATACATAGCTCTGGGATGACTGTGCCTGTTAGAAAAAAATGAAATTTGACTCCCTACTTCATATGATACACAAAGATAATCCTGAATGGATTAGAAAACCAAATTTTAAAGGCAAAAGTATAATGCTTTGAAAGATAATACAGAATATATTATTATTCTTGGACTAA